GCATGATTTAATGCATCAGGATGGAGTAAAATATGTCTTTATAACATTTAATGGGCAGGGACTGAAAAATAAGATGGCTTGAGAGGTGGAGCATGTCATTAAATACTGCTTAAAGATTTTGATTACTTTTTGTTGAAATATTGTGCATCATTAGCAAAAAGACCATAGACATGGATTAAAGTCAAATGGGGTCCTTTTTGTTTTTCTTCTGGTAAATGTATTTGAAATTTATTATTGTTATGTGTGTAGGATCAGATGACATTGTCGGACCAGAAAGTATGGAGAAGTTCTGTGAGGACATCGGAGTTGAGCCAGAAAATGTTAGCAAAATTCATTCGTATATTTCACACTAATTCCTGAAGTTCGATTTTTCGGGACAGTCTTCTGTCCAAAATATGAGAAATCATTTGAAATAATGTGCACTGTGTATTTGTGACCCTTCAGATTGTAATGTTAGTTTTAGCCTGGAAACTTGAAGCAACAAATATGGGATTTTTCACAAAAGAAGAGTGGCTGAAAGGAATGACATCACTACAGTAAGATTGAACTTCACATCACATGCCTTGCTTGGATATCATGAGAACTCAAACAATATTTTATGATTTTAGCATTTAACTTCACTTCTCTCTTTACAGTTGTGACTGCACAGAGAGATTACAAGGCAGACTGGATTATTTACGCTCTCAACTGAATGACCCAGTTATATTCAAGAGCATTTACAGATATGCCTTCGACTTTGCCAGGGTGAGAGGCTTTTTTTAGTAGGACCAGAGAAAAAAAAAAAGCACTTCCATTTTAAGATAAATTAATCATTTTAAGATAAATATTGCTTGCATCTTTTTCTATTTTGCAGTGAATTTGTGTCTGCTTAAGGCTGGAATGCACTGCACGACTTTTGCTCATTTTTTTGCCTTGTCTTGATGAGTCTACAATAGTTGCCGAAAGTCAGATTCCATCCAGTCAGATGATATCAAAAACGCGTTTGATATCTTGAGACGATTTTAGAACACACATCGTTCGTATAGTGTATGGCGCGCCGCTGCTGAAACCGAAGATACATTAAAAAAACTAAAGTAAATAAACAGAACACGCATAACAAATTGCCTACATTTTTGACTCATCAGCACATATAAAACATCTGACTACGCCACTCACCTCTAACTCCCGCTGCAATCAGTAAAAAAGATTTAAGTCCGTCTATATTTATGGATCTAAATGCGCTTGACTCGTTTTTTTTCCCCGTTTGCGACTCAACACAGAGTCGCTACAACAACTACTGCGGTCATCTCCTGCACATCCATGTTTGTTTCATACAAGCAAGGAAGTGCGTGTTTCTGTCTGAGGTTGTTGTTTTTGGAAGTCTGGTACTGTATGATCCTCAGTCGTTTATTGTATGATGCCCAGTTTTTCCTCTGTAACCATTTACAAAGTCATCTAGTGTATAATGCCTTGTGTTTAAAAATCGTGTGGTGTGTTCCACCTCCAGGCTTTGGTGATGTACTTTCAACATGTTCATCTGATTTTGTCTGTAGGATAAAGATCAGCGCAGTCTTGATATGGACACTGCAAAGTCCATGTTGGCGCTGATCCTTGGAAGAACGTGGCCTCTGTTCCCAGTGTTCCACCAATTTCTGGAGGTTTGTCATCTCTTCTCCAAACCAGAGGGTTTATCAAGCTCCAAAAGGATGAAAAAACACCTTTTAAAGCCAAACTAAAACCTATTTATTTATTTATTTTTTGACTATGTATTTAAAAACTCTGAATTTAGTTGTATTTGTTCTTTAATAACGTGTCTAACAGATGTCTCTTTCCTCTAGCAATCAAAGTATAAAGTCGTGAACAAGGACCAATGGTACAACGTCTTAGAGTTCAGCCGTACAGTTAACACAGACTTGAGCAACTATGATGAAGATGGAGCCTGTAAGTTTATGATTGTCTTGTTGAGCTGCACGATTAATCGCTAAAAGATTGCGATTTCGATTCAAACACAGACGGAATCTTATTCCTACGTGATAACGATTCGGCTATGTCTATTAAATAGGGATGTAACGATACACAAAACTGACGGTTCGGTTTTCCCACGGTTTTGACATCTCGGTTCAGTTTAGAAAGCTTAAATTGCTTCCTTTTTTTAAATTTTTTTTACAGAGGTTTAATGAAAAAATTGTCTTTGTCTTTAAATTAATTCAATTACAATTAAACGTTTCACAAGGATTAAAAAAAAATCTGCTAATGCTGTAACTATTTAGCTATATGTAACTAACCGTACATTACTATAACGTTAAGGGTTGTAGCCTAGACTTTTAACCTAAATTCAGATGCTATTTATTTTTTAGATATAATAATCAACACACAACACATTGTATGAAAAGATGTTAACTGAACATAAGGCAGTTTTTGCATTAACATTTTGCATGTGTTTTTACTCTAATTTGTTATTGAAATATAATAATTTACACAGTTGTCATTTTCATGATACATTAAATAATCAAGATATTATTAACAGGTTAAGTAAAATGTAATATACAGGCTAACATAGTGCATTTATTTAGTGCAAGACTTCATTTATAGGAACCAAAGTTTTGGACACTGAATCACTTGCCTGTTGAGGTAAATATAATGCTAGTGACAAGCTATGCTGTTTTATTGACATCTTTCCACTGCTGAAACACTGATTGAGCGATTACACTAGTTATGATGGCTTTCAGTAAGTATACTGTATCTTTCAACATACCTTCATGTGTCCATTCTTTAACTGAGGAAGAGATGATTGCATTTACTCGCGCCCCACACTGCCACTTGAAATGCCTAGTAGGCCTACAGCGATCTGTCACGCCACATCAAAGAGCGCCAAAACGGCATTTATTGTTTGAATTTCGTGATCAAATGGACAGAATTTGAAAGATTACACCTGACTTATTATCGAAAGTAACAACACAGAGCTTGTTTTTGGTGTTAATGGTGGTTAGGCTACAAAACTGAATTTGTTGGACATGAGGTCCATTGGGCTGGGCGGGGCCAGGGTAGCCGGGGGCGGGGCGTGTTCATTAAGCAATGAGAGTATCGCTTTCGAATCGTGAGTTCTGTATCGCGTTTTTTCGGTTCGATTCGAATATCGTTACACCGCTACTATTAAACCTTCGTTCAAATCTGCTCTGCCTGCAGAGAGAGCAGTTGTCATATATAGGTATGAAACAGCTACACAAAGTCTTTTCAACCACACACAGTATCAATATTTTCCTTTTTTTTTTTTACATTAATTGATATCATCACAGAAGTACTGGGATAAAAGTTTATAGTTCATATATGGACACTGATGTCTATGGTAGCGAAAGTAACTTGATACTTCAAATAAAGATCAGTTACATCGTTACACCAGTAGGTGGCGACAAGTGACTGTTTAAAAAATGTATTTGTCATTGAATCATTCAAGAGATTTATTCAAAAATGCTGATTCATCCAATAATGAAACAATTGTTTGAGAGAGCAGTGGAGCAGTATTTAGTCATTGAATCATTAATATTTAAAAAAAAAAAAATTATAATTCATTCAAATTAATTAAAAAAATAAATAAATGCACAGCAATTAACATTTTGTCAGAACGTCTTATAAATTGCATGTTATTTTGTTTAGTTGTCCAAAAAAAATGTTTGTCAATTTATGCAGAATCGTGCAGCTCTGTTGTCTTGTCGTCTGTCCCAGTTAAATTGCTAATGATCTCTGTCTCTGTGCTGATTTCAGGGCCAGTGATGCTGGATGAGTTTGTGGAGTGGCATAAAGCCAGAAATATTGCATTATAGCACAACCAGACGCTGAATTAAAGCACATCAGATTTTTTTTTTCGGTGTGCCCCTGGCTGCCCCAGATGCAGGCAAACCTCTCGAGGATTGCTTCAAAGTGTCCAATGCTCAATACGGATCATCACTACCCAGAGACTCTTACAGTGTTACTTAAAAAGGAAAATGGCTCGGAGGAATCACAAGACGAATAAAAGGGGAAATATTTTTCTTATGTATTGATTTGTTTCAACAGTCAGTTCTATTGCCAGTGTTGTATGATTTGTCTGAGAGGGAAACAGTCTTTGTAATTTTTGTCCCTTTCATTTTTTTTCCCCTTAAAGTTTTACTTTGTTTATAGTGTCTTGAAAAGGTAATAAAAAAAAAGCAGTTGTAAATAATTTTTCTTCTGGACATTAGTGGAATACAGCGCTGTTAGAGCATTAAAGCATTACTCAATCATCTAAATGAAGCATGAATAAAAAAAGATTTACTTTTACACACATTACTACTCAAAAGTTTGGGATCAGTAAGATTTTCAAAAGAAAAATTTAAAGTAAGTCTCTTATGCTACTATATTTTGCATTTATTTGATCCGTAGTACAGTTAAAACTAATGCTGTGGAATTTTATTACAATTTAATGTATTTTAAAATGTAATTTATTCCTGTGATTTTCAGCATCATTACTCCAGTCTTCAGTGTCACATGATCCTTCAGAATTCATTCTAATATGCTGATTTGCTGCTCAAAAAACATTTCTTATCATTACAAAGAAAAAAATAAAACCGTTGTGCTACTTTATATTTTTGTGGATTTTTTCTTCAGGATTCTTTGATGAATAGAAAGTTCAAAAGAGTAGCCTGTGAAATAGAAATCTTCTGAAACATCATACATTTCTACCATCACTTTTGCTCAATTTAAAGCATCTTTAATAAAAAATTCATATTGTTAAAAACTTACTGACCCCAAGCTTCTGAACAAGTACTGTATAAATTTGTTTGATTCCAACTCTAATATAAGCATCAAATTACTACAGTTGAAATAACTTGACTGTATAAACATTTAACTTAAAATTTAAAAATAAATGTCAAATTGCTTGATAAACACTTGACAAGTATTTGGACAATGACACTTAAGTCAATTGTCATATCGAACCCAATTATCTGCCAATGCTGATCTCAAAATGAACTGTTTCAAACTTTTTTACAATGAATGTTTCCAAATTCCTCCACTTTACAATGTCTCTTGACTTGTTTGTGAGAGACCGTCTCCTGTAGCGTGGGAAGGATCATCTGGTTGAGTCGACTGGCTCTCAGCTGACGCTCTAACTGGGTTGATGTCTGCCTGTTTCATGATGGCGTTGAGTCTCGTCAGTGATTGCGTTCTCAATTTTGGCCTGACCTCGACGTCACCCTCTATATTGGCTTCGGCTTTGATGTGGCTGTATTGATTCCCTTCTTCATCATAGTTGTACACTTTAATGATGCGGCTCTTCTTCTTTGGATGTGGACTAACCACTGATCTGAACTCTTGGTTTTGTTCTTCACCTTCACAGCTCTGAGTTTGGTTTGTATCGTCCTCCCCGCCATCTGCATTTTCTACAGCGTCTACATCATTAGCGTTACTGAGTTCCTGATCATCCAGACCAATGTCCACAGTATCTTCTCCAGTGTTGTGGTTTTTATGAAAGAACACTGTCTCAGGTTGTTCTCTTGTGGTCTGTTTGTTGTTTTGTCCACTGATGTGATTGTGATTTTCTTTTCTATAAGGTATACAAGCCCTTATTGTTTGTAGGCACTTTATTATGTAGGATCTACTGAACGCACCAAGCGTGAAGGCCACCAAAAAGCTCACGATTACTGATGATGCCACAGCCGCCGCGAAATGGCTTTCTGACAGGGTGTCGGTGTAAACCTCTCTGGTCGTCCTCAGTTTCTTGATGTTGGGATTTAAGGCCACTACACTGATTCTGTAAGGCACAATTGTTTTGCTCATCTTGTCCAAATGGATACAGAAATAGAGTCCGTCATGGCTGGATGTGGCCCTTGAAATCCTCAAAGTGCCATTGCATGTTTCCACTGGGTCTTTGTTTTGGTGGTTGCAACCGTTAAATAATCCAAAAGGTGTTTGCCACCACTGTGCCACCACTGCAAAGGGAAGGAAGAAAAAACAGTCTAGAGACACTTTTCATGGCTTAGAACACTTAAAGGAGTGATATGTAAGATTGTGGCCAAAACTGGTACTGCAATCACTTTCAAATTACTGAGCAGTGTATCCCCTCCCCTGAACCCGGATGCCGCAACACTACTGACTTCGTGATTGGTAGATCGGTGGAGGGTGGCGCATCAGACCAAAACACAACATGACAACATCAACATCAGTTGAGGGCTGCAACTTCACGTTTTAAATGACAATATCCTGGCTGGACTACTGTTGTCAGTGATGTAAGTATTTGAAATGAACATGATTTCTTAATGTCTCGTGACATATCAGGGCCATTTTATGATTATTTGATTTCTTTCATACAGCTCCTTTAAAAATGGAGATACATTCTTGTTCTTTTTCAATACATGAAAGAAGGCTTATCAAAACCTTCACAAAATATTCATCCACAACTATTAAAATGAAATATATAAAGATAAAGATTTCATTCACTTGATGTTCACTTGAATATAACAAAAAACAAAAACTGAAATAAAATTGATAAGAACTAGGCACATTTAAAATAATTTTAAGAAACAACATTATTAAAACTTTAACTGAATAATTGAGATTTGAATATATAAATGATACTAAAATAACACTGGGTTACACTATACTAAAGAACTTATCCTGATGGTGTTTTAAATTCATATACATATAGAAAGAAAGAAATGTTGAGCTGCTCACCTTCATTTCTTTGATCTCTGCACTGAAGCACCAGTGTTTCTCCTGAATGAATGTGAAGGGAGTTTTCAGGTCTGACTCTGACCTGGATGTGGTTTGTTTGACTCGGAGTCGACTGTTGAGAGCTTCTCTCATAAATGTCACTGTGTTCAGTTTGACTGCTAATAATACACGGAGAGTTACAAAGGAGAATCAAACTCAACAAAGAGCTGATTCTGAACTCCATCTCTAGAAAGAAAAAGAGACGTTCATTAATTTCAACTATTACTGCTATACCAATATTATTGCAATAATTTGATATAAAACTGCTCTTCGACCCAAGTCATATATCTACAGCAGTCCCAATGAGTACGACTGTGGTTTGTCTTCACAACACACACACAAAATCTGAAGTTGAGTAAGAAAATCAGAAACTGTTATCATTTGAAAAACATATAGCCTATAGGCCTAAGTATCATTCAGCCAGGCAAATACTCACAGAAGGAGTCTTGTAGTTCTCAATAAGAGTAAAGTACAGTCCTCACATGACAGCCCTTATATTTCATCTCGTGCTCCATGTTTAAAGATTAACATTTTTCTCTTCAATAATAGACAGGATGTCATGTGGATGAGAATGCCTTGTTTTAAGGGTAACAGTTAGTCGGTTTATGGTTGAACAAAGTTTCAGGTAATTAGTAACATTCTTTATCTTTGCCACCATAATAATTGTATGCAGAGAAACAAACAAATAAGAAATTGACTAATTATATCCATTAAATGCAATACAACAGCAGAAAAAAATCCATAGCTGAAAAAAGGCCTTATTTTGCTGATGAATTTCTCTCTGTGCATCGCTTTAAAAAATTGGGTGACAGATTTATTCTGATGAACAAATGGTAATGGAAATCGTTAAACATATGGACTGCTATAATAGAAAAATATGAAGATTTTTGTTGTTGAATACAAAGGCTGTGTGTATAGTCTAATGTAGTCTACGTGTTTATGCACAGATTGATTGGTCCACTTGATGCAGTGTAAGATTTGGGTCCTGAGGCAAACACATGGTTTTAGCAAATCTATCTAAATGCATCTTGAATTAAGTGAATTTAATCAACTTTATTTTCAGGGTTCATTTACTGCTGTATGCATAATATGGCAGATCACGTTTGCCGCCAAGTTTTGTACACAAATACTCATCCAATAATGAAAGTATTGGGTCATAGTGACTGGCGCTGAGAAAAGTAACAGATATCACGTGACAACACCGGCCTACTTCAGCAGCGGTCTATAATTTTTTTCCCCAGCGATAATTATGTATGTAAATAAATGAATAGAAACTTTCAGGCTGTAAACCATATTTTAACTGAATTTCACACCAATTCAATCTCAAATCCACTTTTTTTTTTTTTTTTTTTTTTTTTTTTTTTTTTTTTTGTAGAGCAATACTCATTTAGCGTTTCAGCGTTTTGCCACAAGGTGGCAGCAGTAACGTAATGTAAAGAAAGATCACCATGACCATGTTTTGCGAAACTGTTTTGTTTTGTGTTTCTCTTTCATTTGTCGCTTTGCTTTGATGAGCTGGCAATAGAATTAAAGTGAAGCTCGAAACAGAGACTAAAATCTTCTTTCAGAAAAGTTTGATTTGTGGCTCGATAATAACCCTTCCACCCATAGACAGTTTTCACCCTGTTTCCCCTCTGATAAATGCGGATGAGTTGCAGAAACACCCGCGAAGAAGGCCCCTCCCTCACTCAGACCACAGAGAACATGAAAGACACGAGGAACTAAACACAGTAGCCTACAGAAAAACACAGTCCAGTGGGTTACAGTCTCTGGAGGTTTCAGGAGAGAACTGGTTCTGAACTGTGAATGTATCTCATCTGTGCATATGAATTAGTAAATTAAAAGAAGCATCTGTTCATTCCTCATTTGAATATCCTCAACCAGCTGGGGGAAAACACGAAGAGTTTTGCAGGTAATTTAATGTTCTTGCAACATTACAGGCTCGTGTTTACTGAATTTTTCTTTTCAAATGTGTCACTTTTTTGGGAAGTGTTTAAGTGGCTACACTCAACATCTCACTTATATGCTGTGTTTTGCTCTTCTTTTAGTGTTTTTGTTGTGACATGTTTTGAGTTTGTTTGCATGTGTGAATGGAATGTTGAAAAGGCTGGTTACACCGAAACTGGCTGGAATGAACTTGCTATTTTGATATATTTGTCAGGGTTGTTCATAACAATATTAATTATTTTGTGATTTTCTGGCTTGAAAAACTCGTTAATTAAATTTAAACAAATAAAATATTTCTATAAATAATTTATGTAATCCCTAACATTTGGTTAATATGCATGTTCATGACTTAGTTCACAAAAAGTTTGTTACAATGGATCGTATTTGACCCATCAGGCTTTGTTTTACGGTTCATATAGTATGATATAGTAAGAATGTGGAAGGGGAAAACACCTTTATTCAGAGGCCCAAACTTGGTGCAGTTGCCTATAAGTTGCTGATTTTTATGAGGCCAAAAAGTAAGATCAGATTGAATCTGATGAAAAGAAGATGAATGAATGCATATAATTTGATATGAGAATGCATATAAATATCAGTTACTTTTCACTTTTTATGTCTTAATATGATATGTAAAGGCTTAGTTTTATCTGTTATTTTCATTGTGGGGGCAAAACAATCCAATGCAATATGTTTGAGAGTTGGACAAATAAACGTTCCTCAGAAGCCTGATTGATCATATTTGATTTTTCACGATTGAACATGATTGAACATTAAATGTTCATCTAGAAATATTAAAAGACAATATCCTGTAGCAATTGAGCAAGATAACATAATTTGATATGATATTTTTAATGCAGTGAAACTGATGCATTTTAAGTGTCCAGATACTTTCTGAAGCCTTTCAAAATGCCCAAATAAACATGTCACCAGTTGAAGACGCACCCTCTTTTAAAACACACCACCGCTGACTCATTCTCATGATCCTGATAGTCGAGAATGAAGAGCCATGTGTTGTGAAAGGGACCTCTATTGTATTTGTCTTCAGAAACCAGGATCTTTTGTGCTGTCAATTGGATGGTGTGGTTCCAGTCCGGATGGGTGTATGGTGTCTTAAACAGATTAATCTGTGCTTCCTATCGATCTTTCCTATCTCACAGTCGTGTGTAATATTTCTACGGTTGTGTGGTGATGTGAGTGTTTGCAGCCCTGAGTGATGAAAAGCAGAACCATACGGAGCAGCCATAGTATTTGTCAGACATTTTTTCCCCTTTTTGGCCGTTCTTGTTTGACAGTGTGACACTGACTCATGTTTCACTGATCCTCTTTCTGAATGAATGTTAAACAGTTTTACATTAGGAATAGTTCCTGCCATGTCATTCCAAACCCATATTATTTTCTTGAGGCAAGACTCTACAGGCCAAACAGAGGCCAGAGACATCATAACGTGCCTTCTTTCAGACTAGTGGAAAGAAAACAAACAAAATACACATTTAAGTGTTTGTTTTATTACACTTTATCCATTTGCATTTGTAGATTTCAATTAACCCATATATTTGATAGCCGTAATTTTTGAGACCAAAATCTCTACTTCAGCAGCTTAACATACGCCATGTTTTACAGGTGTATTATTTCTATTTACACTCTGAAGGTTTTTACAGAAGGGTGTGTTCATGTATCATTCACCTGATATGTACGTAACATTTTATTCCTAAAAACATCATTTATTTTTCTTTTTTAAAAAGTATTTTCTGATTTATAGAGTGATTAAATAAAAACCTGTAAAAAGACTAACTAATATGTCGTCAAAATGAATTTTGTACTTGGCTTTATGATATCCAGTGTTCTGAATTCTATGCTGGACATTTATGCAATTGAGTATTCATTTTTTTTTTTTTTTTTAGTTTAATTTGCAAAGTTAAACATAAAAAGTCAGAAAACTTGTAATACAAAACAGTTGTATTATACTGTGATTGATATACTGGGGAAAGTATGGTGACATACTGTATATGCCATAAACCCATATTATTGTCTTTTACACAAAATGATATGTTTGGGACTTGGAGAATGTCCAAGCTTCTGGGTTTTCCTTTTTGTGTTCTTTTTCCGGAGATTTTCACTGTATGCTGACCGTCAAACTATGTTGAATGTTATTCACGCCAGAGAAACACATCGAGAACAGTGTTTCTATAAGCCATTTTGTGTAGTTTTATAATGACACTCATAACTCGGTGCTTGTTCTAAATTACTTCCTCATTTCCTCTGAAAACAGGCAAATGTTGAAGATATTGCTGTAAAGTAATCCCGGCGCCGTCAGAGCATTCCTGCATTCTGATCTTGTGTCTGTGTGTCGCTCCAGACTGCAGGATGTTCTCGTCAGTAAAGCTGTTTGAAGGGCAGCAGTTTTCAGCCCTGAGGAAACAGTGCCAGCAGAACAAGACTCTGTTCGAAGACCCTCTCTTCCTCCCTGTGGACCAGTCGCTCTTCTATCATGGAAACCGCATTGGAAAAGTCACCTGGAAGAGACCAAAGGTAGGCCTATAAAGAATCTTGGAATTGAATTGAATAAAGGCTTTTTATATCTCCAAAGGATATATTTTATTGAACAGAATCCCCTTTTCAACTACAATGAATGGTGCGTTTTGACTACAATGCGTTTTTTTCCGGATCTTATGAAGTCACAATTACTCATTTAAATAATCCCCGCCCATAGAATCCGCAAAAAAGGGGCGAAGCCTGGTTGAGCCGAGTTCACACTGCACGATTTTCAAAGTAGTCAGGTCACTGTTCTTTTCACACTGCATGACTACCTGAAGTAACATTTTGTTGCTGGTGTGTTCACACTGCACGATCGGCAACGGGAGGTTTCACACCGCATGTGTTTACGAAAGAAAGAATCGCCAACAACTTCACAAACTACGTTTCACAACCAAACACACGCAAGAAGTGATAAGGAAAAACCCAAGATCACGTGTGTGTGAGACCGAAATTGTTATGAAAAATTAAAGCTTGCATGAAGCTTGCGATCTAAATTGCCTGTGCGCTGATTTGCGGCGAAAAGGAGAGGGGGGAAAAAACAGATTATGCAGGAGGAAATGGTTGGGGAGACAAGGGGAGCAAGGATTGTGTGTTCTGCAAAGAGAGTTGGGGGTAAATAAATAATTTTGCAATGTGCTGCTGTTGCTGCTGGTCAAGCAAATGTTTGTGCTTTGTTTCTGTTTGATATCATTGTAAATATATCTATTAAAATTCTGATATTGTGGTCTATAACTCCTCCCTGAACATCCCGCTGCCCTGTATCTTGCTCTCTCATTGGCTGTTGGTCATCGCCAATGTAGTTTTCAGTCAGAACACATTCACACAGCAGTTGGCCATTCTCTCAGATTGCATCTTTGAAAATTCACACTGCGTGATTGTCACTCACGTGAACGAGCACTGAATTGCCTATGATTTCGGGCATTTGTCGGCAATCTCTTATAACCTGTCGGCGAGTGAAAATGGGGTTTGAACTCAGTTGCAATTTGAACTCTGCATTAGAAAAGACAGAGACAC